AGAAGATAAAAGTATATACCTGAAATATTTACAGGTTATTATATGTCAATTATAAGAAAGCTAAAAAATTGTATACATCTAAAGCTGAGGTAAGAAAGGAAACACACATTCTTCAATAGTTAAACTAATAAAGAGCCTAAGAATTAAACTAATAAAGAGCCTAAGAATTCATTAGCTAATAATCAGTCTCAATAATTTGGAGAAGGCAAATTTTATGAAAAGGAGAGTATAGAAAGACAGACTTAGGCAAAAGAGCAAAATTTAAACATATTGAAAGTGAACATATGCACAGAGTGTCAGCAACGTCAAATTTTCATGCTTTTATTTTACTATTTTATTTTTTTAAAATATATTTTTAGTTGTAGATAGACACAATACTTTTATTTATCTATCTATCTTCTATTTATTTATTGATTTATTTTTATGTGGTGCTGAGAATTGAATCCATTGCCTCACACATGCCAGGCACGTGCTCTACCACTGAGCTACAGCCCCAGCCCCAGCCCCAAATTTTCATGCTTTTAAAAGACAAATAAAATTTAAAGAACTCAGGTTAAACTTTAGAAAAACAATTATGTATCAATTATACATATATATCTGATATATATTTATATATTTTTTCAAGGCTGCCTCATTTAATGTTGATATACTTTCTGGGAAACACTATGAGTCATTGTAATTCATGTGTATGCATGCTTTAAAAGGAAATATATAGACTGGGGTTGTGGCTTAGTGATAGAGTGCTTACCTAGCATGTGTGAGGCACTGAGTTTGATCTTCAGTGCCACATAAAAATAAAATAAAAGTAAAGGTACTATGTTCATCTACAACTAAAAAATGAAATATGTAAAATTATCACAAAATTTAAATTTATGGAAGCAAACATACCATGTGTAGATGATAATGCTGTAAATCACTGTAAAGTAATTTTTTATTTTGCATTCATCACACAGAGCACTGATACCTACATGGTACACTATACATACCTAGGCTATATGTGATAACTGTCACTGTACATGCGGTCTATCACCAACCAAAAGGTCATTATGCCACACATGGCTGAATGCTATAACGTTACAGCAGTTAATGTACACCTCATAATAAGATGAATAAATAGACCTATTGATCTAAAGACAGAACCTTTAAAGAGACACTTGCAATTTAGACAATGATAAGTTACAAGAGTTTGCACTGCAGGAAAGTAGAAAAATGGCATCGTTTCCAAAGAAAGCTGCTGGGAAAATGGGGTATCTGTGCGACTGATAATAAATGCAATTGTGGCCTTTCCTCATATCACATGATAAATCATTGTCCTCTGACACTTAAATACAAAAGCAAATCAAAACATTCAAAAATTATTATAACAAAGAGAGTTACAGGGTGGACACGGTGGTACACATCTATAATACCAGCTTTCCTGGAAAGCTAGGACAGGAAGATAGAAATTTCTATGGCAGCCTGGGCAACTTAGTGAGACCCTGTCTTATTATATGTCAATTATACTACAATAAAGCTATAAAAATTATATGCATCTAAATATATAAATTTCAAATAGGGCTGAAATGTAGCTCAGTGGTAGCACTCCTTTGGTTCTAATCCTAAGAACCAAAACAAGGGAGTTATTTTCAAAGTTATACAAAACAACATGTTAAAAAATAATAAAATTGGGCAACATTAAAATAAAAATTTTATTCATCAAATGCTACCATTAAAAGGTAAAAAGAGAAGTGACATAGTGGATGAAAATAATTCCCTCACATATAACCAAACATTTTTAATGTGAAAGAAAAAGACAGGACACCAAAAAAAAAAAAAAAAAAAAAAGCAGGCTTGAGTGATTTATAAAGGAGATATCTCAATAGTTAATACTCATAAAAAGGCTCCAAAAATCTTAAGGAATCTTAGAGCAATGTAAAAAAAAAGTCACATCAGCTAGATAAAATTAAACAATAATAAAAAAACATGGAATAAATGGATTATGAACTAAAGAGAAAATGTAATTTGTGCTTACAGAAACTGGCTATGAAGATACATGATACACCATCAGCACAGTGCATGTGTGAACTATAAAAAACATGTGAGGACCCAGCAATTCTGGTCAAAACAATTGAAATCTAGAGGGAGGGGAAAGTTTTCTCTGGTTTGCGTCTTAGGAATAAATAATAAAGTGGGGAAAAATGATTTCTAGGACCCAGCCACATTTTTGGTCACATTACATTCAGTTTAACCACAAAAAACATCAGATAAGTATTAGAGAGCTGTCTCATCCACGTGATACTTCATGTGTATGCATGCTTTCGAAGGAAATATTTATAATTTACCAAAAAATTAAAATTTACAAAAGCAAATAAAAGACTCAATCACACACACAATGTGTAGATGATAAAACTCATCCTTCTACAGATTATCATTTTCCTCACAGTTAATTTCCAACATTATCCATCAAAATTTCAGCGTGCTTTCCTTTTAGTGAAAGAAAGGACAAAACACCCTACAATTCATCTGTAAAATACATACAAAATTAGCCAAAACCCCCTCTGATTTCTAAGAGCAAAACAAGTAGTTGTCATTACTTGACACTAATATATATTATGAAACTCTAATTGTGCATTAATAGTGACTAAGGATTCATAATGAAAACAAAACCCATAGCTGAATCCACATGTATGTAAATTTTCTATTGTCAAGAGCAATAGAAAGGCCAATACCAATCCAAAACTTATCAAGAATTACATCAGATTTGAATGTATGATCAATCCAATCTAAAAGTAGGTGCTGGGCTTGGGGGCACACAGCTCACTGGTAGAGTGTGCATGCAGAATATGCAAGGTCTGGGTTTAAACCCCAGCACCACAATAAAAGGAAGATGTTAATGGAGGATAATGTTGGAAATTCAGCAGAATAGAAGACTCCTGCCTCTCCCTTTCTCTATGGATACACTGTTTCCATAAATATCTACACATTTCAAGACCTTAGACAAAGTCAGGTCACAAATGAGTTGAGACACTTAGGAGAGGAAGATTGGGACCATATATATCTGAACTCTAAAGTTTTCTCTGGTTTGCATCTTATTTACCTAGTGCTGAGAGAGGAAGGGATCACATACATATACACAAGTATCAAGACCACTTTCATGAGTGGTCTGGGACCAGGGATGACAATTAGTTAAATCTTGAAGGTTTCAGTTTATCCATAGAATGACTCTCCATCTGCCAGCACACTCTGCCAACTGCTGTCTAGCCAGAATTATAAAGTTAAAAAGGAAAATATAGGCTCCCACTAGCAGCCTGAGTGGGAATTTGGCACTTCCTGAGCTCTCTCCCACAGTTCACTCTAGTAATAACTCCAATTCTTCCTAGAAGGAGTCTGTCCAGGCACTGAGAGCCTCAACTTCAACACCTTTTCTTCCTGGGTTTTCATCCTAATCTTCTGTGAGCAAAGGTAACTGAGCATGTGTAAATCTCCATAGATCATAAACAAGTGGTTTTACTTTGTTATGCAAGTACTCCTTAGGGCCACAATCCCCACCAGTAGTGAAGAAAAGGGGTTAAAATCCACAGATCTCAGAAAAAGTCACAGCACACTCTTCTAGTGGCAACTTGACAGACTGTATTCTAAATTGCATTAGGGACTTAATGCACCAATCAATAGCAGACCTCCTGCAGCCTGAACAGTGTTGTTAAAATGGTTATTATCAAAAAGTTGCAAGATAACAAGTGCTTCAGAGTACAGACATATGAGGAAAAGAAAACCCTTATAGAATGTTGGTTAGAATATAAATCTTGTACAGTTTTTAAAATAGCATAAATATTCTTCAAAAAACTAAAAATAGAGCTACCATATAATCCAGTAACAATAATTCTGGGTACATATCTAAAGGGATTGGAACCAGTATGTCAAAGAAATGACTGTACTCTCATTTTCATTGAAGTGCTATTCACAGTAGCTAATAAAAGAAACAACTGACATGCCTTTTAGATGAAAGAAAGATCAGGGCAGGACATTCAATTATTTTATGAGAAGCTCCACCCTCACAATTCCAGCTATTCTCAAGGAGCACACGACCCAGGGAATGTGTACACTAGACACTCCAGGAGGATTTAGACATGGGGTTGCAGCACTTTGTGTCAGGCAGTTATCAAACCGAGGGACAAGAAAAGATGGGAGGATGGAGTGTGGACACTTCACACAATTAAGTCTACAGAGGAGAATCTCAACGCAAAAAAAAAAAAAAAAAAAATAGTGGTAAGTTTTTGTGCTTAGGAAAGAGAAGGGGAAAAGCACACATATTTTTTCCCCCAAATGCTCAAGCAATTTTCCGCTCTCCTCTCATAAAAAAAAACCAACCAAACAAAACAAAACAAACCCTCAAAACAGAACACAAAATCTTTAAAAAGTGCCATTCAATACTTGGAGAAAAATATGTCCATTTGAAATGTAGCATGGGAAACAAATAGTTCACAACTTGGAGAGGAGAATTCAGCATTGCAATAAGGACAGGGAGCTGGAAATCTAGGAGTTTATCTATAACTTTGGCATTTATAAAGAGCCAGGCTGCAGGACAGGCTGCTCTGGGTTGGACGTGCCGCTTCCCGCACATTCGGGAGGCCCAGGAAGTGGGGGAGCTGGGGTCCCCGCAGACCCCAGCTATTCTCACGCAGGAACACCACGCACAGAGGTGGACCCTTCCTGAGGATGGTCCCTGGTCTCACCGCACAGCTGGGTCGAGGTCGGGCTGCTGGCAGGCTGCTGCCCAGACAGGGCTTCAGTCAGGGCCGAGGCGACCACGCAGTGATCCGAGAGGGGGCTGGGTCCCCGCCGTGGCGGACCTGCTCTCCGCTAGGACGGCCAGGACGGCTGAGGGCCGCGCTGCCCCAAGGAGGACTCGGGGCTGCAGACTGAAGAGGACCGGGCGTCCCACCCACCGTTTCAGGTTCCCGCCGCGCCAGTCCTGCCAGTTCCACGCAGCGCCCGGGCTCCAGACTCCCCCGCTCACTCACCATTTCCCGGCGATCGGGAGCGCAGCGCTCTCCTGTGGGTCCCGAGCGCCTCCGTGGTAGAGCGACCGGACGGCAGGACACAGGACAACGAAGCTGCAGGTGGACCGGAAGAATGACGGGCTCCGGAGAACAGCGGCGCTAGATGGCAGAAATCCGCCCCCTCGTCACGGGCTCTGCGCTGGATTGGACAGATCTCACCCACGTGCCCCTGATTGGACAGGACATCAGGGCCCGCCCCCTCGAACAGAGCCCAGCGAGCCAACGCTCTGAGTGACAGTAGATTGCACCCAACCAAGGATGAACGAGAACAGAACGACAGGTTCTCGGCTCCTGTTTTTTTTTTTTTTTTTTTTTTTTTTTTTGTTCGTGGGTTGGTTGGTTGGTTGGTTTTTCTCCAGTATTAGCGATATAACCCAGGGACTCTCTATCCCTCATTTACATCCCCAATCCTTTTATTCTCTCTCTTTTTTTTTTTTTTTTTTTTAATTTTGAGACGAGGTTTTTTCTGTTTCACAAGGTGGCCTCTAACTTGGAAAGGCCTCTAACTTGGATTTCTGTTGTGCCCCACCATGGCTGACTATTTTCTTTTTCTTTTGAGGTTCTATATATTGAACCCAGAAATTCAAACTGCAGATGTTTTAAGACATGACTTCCTCTGAGTAGCGGAATCTATACTATCCAGGAAGATATGTGCATTGAACCCTGTCTCATATCAACCTTAATTATATGTTTATATATTATTCATGAATATAAAAGATTAGCAATTACTTTAATTTTTTAAATACTTTTCTGCTCTCTGGTCTTATCAGGAAGTATCTTGATCTCTGAACTGGGAAACAATACCCTAAAGCAGCATTGTCGGACTCAAACAAAATGTGAGTCACAAGTGTAATCTCAGCGGCTTGAGAGGCTGAGGCAGGAGGATGGCAGGTTCAAATGGCCTCAGCAACTAAGAGAGGCCCTAAGCAATATATGCAGAATATTATCAAATAAAATTATTAATGAAGTATTTATATTTTTGGAGCTGTATCTTGAAAACTCACTCTTTTTTATTTCAACACATCTCAATTCACAGTGGTCACACTCCAGCTTGCAGAGCTATGGCTCCCCTGACTTCAGCACCACAGGAAAAGAATAAAACTTCTTAGTAATATTTCTCCTTGGTCCAAAGCCAAGGAAAGACTACCTTCAGAAAGAGCAAGGAGCTCCTACCAACAAGTATTCAAAGTAGGCCACTATTTCTCCCACTATTTCTCATTTGATGCTGGGCACAAAGCCATTTTCCTTTCATATATCACACAGCAAACAAAGGAAGGTGGGAGTCCAGGGAGGTGGGGGGTCACATGTATTTAGATCTCTTCAGTTAAGCTCTAATTAAAGAAGATAAAGGAACATATGATTTTGAAATTTGACCTAATGGCCAGGCTGTGAAATCTGTTTCCTTCTGTGGGATGGGCACTATGAGAGTTTAGCACCAATATATGCCTGCATATATTTCTGTATAATTCAACACCATCTAATGAGAGATCTAACTTTTAAGGTAGGAGAAAAGAAAATCAGCACATGTATGGCACCTCTTATTTGCCGAATAACATTAAGTCACATGTGATTTAATCTTGGCATTAAGATAGTGAATATATTAGTTATAAATCACTGGATATAAATACTTTAAAGTGTATTAGCTCATGATTTGGGCTGGTCATTCATCTAGGCTGGACTCAGCTGGGGTCTGAATGCTGCATATAGTTAGCTGATTTTTTATAAGATTGCTGGACTTCAGAGGGTAGGCTGGCTGTCAACTGGAGCACCTTGGTCCTCCTCCTCATGATATTTCATCCTCCAAAAAGCTAATGTGGGCTTCATCTCATGGAGATGACAGGGTTATGAAAGCAAAAGCAAAATCATTCAAGGAATTTTGATCTTATCTATCCAATTAATACACTTTCATGATCACAACTCTCGATAGGCCATAGAAAATAAGAAAAGCTCAGATTCAAGGTTTGGGAAAGAGATTCTGAGTTTTGACAAGAGTAGGAGTAGAAGCACATCATCAAGTTTGTGGATACAGATAAGACTGAAGAATTGCCTATAATTTGACCCTCAGTATCATTCTGCATTTTCTTATAAGTGTGGTTCATATAACTGTTTAACATAAAGGAACATGTCTAAAGTCCCACAATTATTAAGGAGTCAGGCTGAGATTTGGGGTCCACTTTGCCTGATTCCAAAATCAAAATGCCTCCACTAAACCATATGATCCATCCTTTTCTTATAATGTTAAGTGTTGGATAGTGACACTCAGAACATCAGCACTAGATCAACACCCCAGTGCTCTTCTCCAGTGGGAATAATTCCTTGAGTGAATGCCTCTGGAGCTTCTGGGAAGTTCTTGGAAAATTTTTGGGAAGCGACTAAGCACTGAATTAAGAAAACTAAGAAACAACAATATATTATATTTCCTATGACAAGAAAAATTTTAAAACAGGTATCATGCACCCACAGGCATGGTGATAAAAAGCACACTATGGAAATTGTAAAGAGAAGCCTCATCTGTATCACAACAATGCTAAAAATGAACAACTTGAAACATCAAATAGGAAAGAATATGATGTCATAGAGTAAGACAGTATTTTTTAAAAATAAAAATATTTTATTTTTAAAATATAGAGCATCGATCAAAGAATTTGCTAAATCTCCAAGTGAAAACATCACCTGGGAACATGTCTTCACAAAGAACTGTGAAGGCCAATGTAGCTAGCTTCAGCTCAGAGGGTTTGTAGTAGTCTCCAACTAGGAGGGGATTGCAGGAAGGTAACACCTATGTATTGATGGAACACACTCTGAGGCTTAAGTGCAAGGAATTAATCTAAATATGTTTGCAGGGGATTATCTCCAAATATGAGCTATGGAGAAAACATCACAAAGAATGAAAGCAATGTATAACACACACACACACACACACACACACACACACGGATAAATTTGAATAAGATATTGATAGAAGCCAGTAGTACATAGGAATTACATATAAAGAAAGGTTAAAAAAAAAAGACAAGGGTGTTTTAAGAGAAAAATGAATTCATAACCATAATGCATGAAGCAACACAGGAGTGAGTTCATTTAGGTCACCATGATGGTCACTGGTGGAGATGGAAACTGAGTGCCATCTGTCTACTTCCAGAGGTCACATTCATCCTCAAGATACTGATTCTTGAAACCCTGTGCCCCTTCTGGAAAACCATTGATTTTTCATGTCGATTTTGTAACCTGTGAATTTGCTGAATTTGTTAGCTCCAGCAGTGTTCTTGTGGAGTTTTTGAACCTTCTATGTATGCAATCATGTCATCAACAGTGATGATTTTATTTTTCCTTTCCCATTTTTATCCTTTTATTTCCTTCTCTTTCTAACACACACTGGTTAGAAGTTGTAATGCTATGTTAAACAGGAGTGGTGAGAATGGACATCCTTGTCTGGTTCCAGACTTTAAAGGAAATGCTTTGTATTTTTCCTTATTCACTATGATGATGGCCTTGGGTTTTTCACAGATAGCCTGTATGATGCTGACGTCAGTTTCTTCTTCCCCTAGTTTCTCTAGTGTTTTAAACATGAACAGGTGCTGGACTTTGTCAAATGCTGTTTCTTCATCTATTGACATAACTATATGCTTTGTGTCCTTAATTCTCTTTATGTGGTAAATTACCTTTATTGACTTGCATATGTTAAACTATCTTTGCATCCCTGGTATGAAACCAAGTTGGTCACGATGTACAATCTTCTTAATATTGAATATGATTGAACAATACACTTTTGGATGATGAATAGATAATAGAAGAAAACTAGGAAGAAACTTTTAAAATTCTTAGACTCAAACAAAAATAGTGATAAAACATACCAGAAACCACGGAGAAATATGAAGGCTTTTCTAAGAAGACAGTTTATAGCTTTGAGTGCCTACCTGAGAAAATCAGATAGATCCTATATAAATGATGCACCTCAAGGCCCTTACAAACAAAAACAAATGAGTTCCAAAATCAGTTGATTATGACTTCTCAATATTTTATTAAGATTTTTGCATCTAATTTCATCAGGGATACTGGTCTATAGTTTTCTTTCCTTGATGTATCTTTAACTGGTTTTGGTATCAGGATGATACTAGTTTTATAGAATTAATTTGATGAATTTTACCCCTTTCTATTTCATGGAATTATTTGAGGAGTGTTGGCATGATATCTTCTTTGATGGTCTGGTGTGGAATTCAGTTGAGAATCTATTTGGACCTTGGTTTTTCTTGGTGGAACAGTTTTTATTACTGCTTATATTTCATTGCTTCTTATTGTTTTGTTTAGTTTTCCTAAAACTTCTTGATTAAATTTCAGCAAGTTATGTATGTCTAGAGATGTATCCATTTCCTCTAGGTGTTCTAAAATATTAGAGTATAAGTTTTGTTTTTTCAAAATATTTTTAGTTGTAAATTGACACAATACCTTTATTTATTTATATTTTTATATAGTTATGAGGATAGATCCTAGTGCTTCACACACACTAGGAAAGCACTGTACCATTAAACTACAACCCCAACCTTAGAATATCAGTTTTCAAAATAGGTTCTAATGATCCCCTGGATTTTTATGATGTCTGTGGTGATTTTTTTTCTTTTTCAATTCTAATTTTTTTAATTTGAGTGTTTTGTTTTTGTTAGTTTGGCTACAGATTTATCTATTTTCTTTATCTTTTCAAAGAACAAACTGTATATGTTTTTGGTGCCAGGAATTAAACTTGTAAGCAAAAATAATTTGGCACCATAATGAAAATACAAGTAACTGGGATGGAAGCAGACTTCAAAAAGATCAGCAAGTTTTTTTTTTTTTTTCCCCTGCCTGCAGTGGAGTCACTCAATCAGGCAAGAAAGGATTTATTTTCTAGGTATGGAAATGGCTTACAGGGTACAGAAGTCTGGGATTTATAGTTTACAATGAGGGTGAATTAATATCATTGGAGATTATAACAGAACACTGTTCTGTTCAGACAGTCAGGAACCTAGTTGTGCAGGTTAAAATTTCAACTCAAGAAAGCAGTTGTAAAAACTTTGAAACTCATTGTCCCTGGGGAAAGCTCAGAACTAAGTGTTCACTGTTTATCTTTCTTATTCTGGGACCCATTTTTACCTAGATTTCACTATTTGCTTTTCTCCTTCCAGGACCCATTTGCAATGGGAAAAGGTAAAAGTCCAGGGCTCAGCTTTTCAGTATCTGCTTCCCTGCTTCAGAGCCCATTGTGGTTGGGAAGAAGTGAACGTTGGCTTTTGGTGAA